GCCAACTAGGAACTCCCAAGTATCTACTCCATCTAATCAGAAGTTTTCTAAAAGATATTTTTCCGTTCGTATTAACTCAAGTCTCTCAAACATTTGAAATTAATGCAGGAGTCCCTCAAGGTTCTTGACTTTCTCCACTTCTCTTTACTGTTTACATGTCGGATTTCGTCAGACTACACAGAAATTGCCCTTTACGCAGATGACACCATCTCCTCAAAATTATCACATATAACTCCCAAAACTGTTATTCACAGTTTCTTCCAAAGTACAATATATCATCAGACCCCTGAGAGAGGAGGTAACGCATGCGGATGTCCATCCCTAAAAGTTAATGTGTAGAATTTTGTATAATGAACACCCCTAAAAGGCAGAAATGCCGAGCAGGTAGAAATAATTTTTTTTTAAATGTTGCGCAGAAACCACTAAAATTTTCAAAGAAATGTATATGACCTTAATGAAAGAACAAATAATTGACAACAAATTTTATTTGAAGAAAAAACTCTTTAATTTTGTAGTAGGTAGAGCCGAAAAAATTCAAACTTTTTAATTTTCGAAAATTCAGAGTTAACCGTAGAAATTGTACTTATGTCACATTTATAAGTTCATTTTACTCTATTCTTATGAAAAATTAAAAGAAAAAATGGAGCCATTTTTGAGAAAATTTTGAAAATGTCCCATGCATTTCATGCAAAGTACCCCAAAAAATTAATCAATGATTTTCAAAACCGTAGAGCCTCGACTCAAGCCACATAGTCAGGGACAAATACTTCGCGTGGTTTAGGCGCTGGTGTTGTTACGTACACCAGACAGACAGACGGACGGACCGACAGACGTTTTGAAGAAAAAACGCCTTTCGATACCATGGGGACCCCAAAACGTGTATTTCCGTTAAAATTTCGAAATCGATTTTCCGTAGCACTACGTAACCTTCATTTCCCTATACTACGTATATTACTCCGTATATACGTGCGTATACGGGAAAGTTAAAAAGGACTAGAGAGAGAGGTAGAAAGCACATGGTGTGCTTTTGACAGACCTGGGGATGTGGATTTCTAGTTCTCATTCACAACGTAAGGAAAATATAAATAAATGAAAAAATATAACTAAAAAGTCTGACTAGTCGAGAGTGAGAGTGAAGGGACGTCAGAAGGGGACGGGTGTTAGGGAAGGGCGTAAGAAAGAGAGGGCGGTGAAAGATCAGACATCGCCTAAGTCACTCCATTCCCAAGCTCGTATGCTTAGTAAAAATGTGGGCCGTGAGGTTCCCAGATTGTTTAAAAGTCTCCCCGCACATTTCGCAGATATACGACCTATCGCCAGTGTGCCTTCGCTTGTGCATCGTCAGCGTGAAGTTGCTACTGAACGTCTTGCCGCAGACGTCGCACATGTACGTCTTAATATCGGCGTGGGTCAGCTGGTGGCGCTTCAACGCCGAGACCTGGATGAAGCTCATGCCGCAAGTGGCGCACAGAAACGACCGCTCGCCCGTGTGCCTGCGGCGGTGGAACGTAAGGGTGCTGGAGTGCGGGAACGAGAGGCCGCACACATCGCACTTGAACAGCCGCTCTTCCTTGTGGGTGGGCATGTGTTTCTCGAGGCCCTGGGCCTGCTTGAAGGAGCGGCCGCACACGACGCTTCTTTGCAAAGGCTTGCTGGCGTGCGAACGCCTGTGGAACGCGAGGTTCACCATCTGAGAGAACGTGTCGCTGCACACGTCGCAGGCGTACGGGCGCGCGCCGTGGCTGCGCCGGTGCACCGATAGCTTGCTGCGCAGGGTGAAGGACGCGCCGCACGTTTCGCACTTGAACGGCCGCTCGCCCTTGTGGCGGTTGCGCTTGTGGCCCGCGAGGCGGCTCTCCGAGGAGAACAACACGTTGCAGGCCTCGCACGGGTACGTGCGGCCGCCCGCAGCCGAAGAGGATGACTGCGGCGGCGGCGGCTGCTGCTGCTGCTGGTGGTGCTCGTGTTGCTGCGTCGGCGAGGCGCTGCTCACCAGGAGAGTTGGGCCGGCGCTCACTTGGAGCAGCACAGCAGCGCAGGCGGCGGTCGCCGGGCTGACGGTTGCGATCCTTCTGGACACACCCGACGATCTCCAAGATTTTTCTTTAACACAATGGATAAGAACAAAACTGATTAGAGGCTGTGCAGTAGGAAGCTCCATATCGCAGACTATTTATGTAGCTAGGTCGTATTCAGCCGCTACCTGGAGGAGCATTCTAGCGGCCGGCTTCTCTGAAAGTACCTTTTAGTGTTTTTTTCAATCAACATCATACCAATGCTGTAGCAGCACCCTACAAAATTAGCCATGGACCCCGTGTGATCTTTCCTTCCTTTACCTTGTCCTATCCCAACCCCTTACTTACACATTGAACATACATACTACACATCGGTGACACTGCAGTAGCTCTGATGGGAAGGTCCTTGGGTTCGAGTATCAACAATCGCATAATTTTCGACACTGGGTAGATAGCTACGTCGAAATCAGCCGCTGTCTAGAGAAGAACGGATTGCGTGCTATCTTTCTCTCCCCTTCCTTGACCTCTCCCCACTTTTTACACCCACATGCTTTGGGAAAATTCTCGCAAGTAGACGTAGGGCGGCGGTGGATCTCGTCAGCCAGTGGGGAAAGATCACCGCTACCTCCCGGGATGAAAACATGCACAACACTAACGGGACTAATGGCCATAGCCGTTGTCGCATCCGAAATCACTAATCAATCAAAACCTTACGTCGCTAGCTTAGAGCTTGTTCTGTCAGGAACGGTGCCCAATGAGAGAGACCTGGATAGTGAGAACCTGCAAACCTACATGAAGATCGTCGCCGGATCTCACCATAATTTGGGAAAGGTGCTCTGCCATCCCCGTGGTGCATTCCACATTCGGGAGAAATTACCACAGAAATTGACGTGCCCGGAAATAATATACCTTTTTATGAACATCATTTTCGATACGAAGCCACTTATGAATCTGCGTGCATGCGCCAACTCTATCGTTACGATGGAGTTACATCTATCATGGAACCTATACCTCTTCTGAATTATCGGGTGTGATCAGTCAATTTGCACCATACAGCGCACATGATTCAAGCCTCGTGATCATGATCAATGGAATATGTTCCAAACAGTGCGAGGGCGGCAAACTATACTGCTAACTTTCTATTTTTGTGATGTAACATTATTTTGGTGAACAGCTCGATTGAAACAAATGTGAATCAAGAGGAGGTGGTATTATGGGTATTCAGCACCCTGCAGTCACAGTTCCAACTATTTCCATTTGTCTCATGATGGAAACTTCCCGCAAAAAGCCTTTAAGACTACAAACGATACAGGTCACATGTTTCATACCTTGTACACTAAGCAATCACTATCCTGAGAGTTTTGCATACACTATAGAAAGACAGGATAGCATAAAATCTAAAGCCACATATTATTTACTACTCATGATTGCGATCAGAGACCCAACTACATACACAGGCCCCTTAAATTTCAATCGCAGCCTCCGTAAAATAACCCCGCGAACACATTTTCAAGTTTTCTCAATTTTCAGGACCCATTATAGTTTAATTGAAATAAGACTAATGAAAAAATAGACTTTTATTCACATCAACATTTTCGAGACTTTTGAGCAGTCTTTGAAAATGTTTCAGTGTTTTTGAAAAGTAGCTGGATCAATTACATGCAAATTACATACTCCAGCACTTGATATTTCTCGCGAAACCAGGATCCGCGAAACCAGGATCCATTGAACCAAGATGCAAAATTTTCAATATTTTAGGTGAAAACTATTCAAGTTGTTAGGAAAGTTTTTTGTGACTTTCTTTGCTCTGGTGCTTTTTTTAAATGTTCCCGCAACTGTTTTCGGGGAAGAAGCAGCTTTCACAACTCAGAAGGTTCATAACAATGCCAAAAATAGGTGTAATTTGCACCCTTGGGACGGAAGTAGGAAACAAAGAGATGCAGCATCTGTTCAAATCTTGTCTGTAATGAACATACTCAGGTAAACATTGTTTACGATCTCTAATAAAAGAAAAACAGATGTAAAATATTTCGAGAGGTTTTTTTAAATTAAACAACTATATTAGAACGTTCTGTTTTATTACTCGTGTTTGAAACGTACAACTGTAACCATAAATCCGTCCCAGACACTCCTGGGTCCGCTGGAACCCGCTTGCATCATTAAAATTAGTTGCCCGGAAAACGTGTCTCCGGACATATTAATTCAGAATTTTTTGAATAACATATTTATTAACATTATGATTCTTTGAGACCAATGTTTGAATAAGATCTTAACTAAACTTTTACTGACATTTTTGGTGTTTTACAGTTTTTAGAAACTATGAAAAAACTAAGAAGAATGTTAGACAAATTTCCATTGTAGCTTCCACGCCAAGGGAGATAGTATTTTCTTTTTCTATCACACCCTTCCAACCCCTTACCATCACTCCGCTTCTTGCTCCACTCCCTGCATATCGTTTGACCTTGAGAAAAGAGTGTTATCTCTCAAGTTCTGATGTTCTTTGGCAAGGGTCGGCAATCACAGGTACTGTAGACCCTTCCGTTCACTTCGTGCGTATCCGTTGAACATGGGCTATATATAACGCTCTGATTTTGAAACATTTTAAGTAAATTAAATACGAGTTAACAATTTACATATTTCATTCTGCGTTTTCAAGAATACTACTGATTTGCACCTTACTGCAAACATCAGTCTCTTTATATTTACATAGGTAAGCAATTCTCGGTGTTGCGAACAGTGAAGGAAATGGATCTCCAACTTGGAAGTGCAACTGATACTAAATACAATAATGCATGCGACTGATTTGTAAAAAGACATTTACGGCAAAACTTAATTTCTGGTAGTTTTGAGCAAGAAAAAAAATGAACGGAAGGTCCACACCTGAATTAAAAATGAAGACTCAGGTGAAGACCTGCGCACGAATGCACAGGATGAGAGGTTGACCGAGATTTACATGGTATGATGGTGTGCGAAAGACAATGAAAAATCGTTACATCAAAGAACATGATTGACAAGATATAAGATGGAAGCTGGGGTGCGAGAGACGCTGCATGGTGAAGTTCCAGTCGCAGGAGAAGAGAAGAAAAGCTACAAAAATGGACAATAATTTTCAGATTTATTCATGTTACATGTATTTTCAATCCATTCAAATTTCATGCAAGAACGAGAACAATTTCACGAGAACTTCTGTCCTTGAGTGCACAACTTTTCTTGAACGTTGGATTGAAGAAATGCGGGTAGAGTGGGGGTAGAGTTACTAAATCGGCCAGATTTTATGAAGCTAATCTCTGGAAAATCAGTCGTGTCTTTGCAACTTATTCAATGATTTACGTTCTAACTTTCTCAGAAGTTCGATGTATCTCCTGTGATGGATCTTCACCTGCTTCGGTCATTTCTTTAGATTTTTTGTGGAGAATCACGGACAGAATTCTCGTCTTCAATAGAAAATCTTTATATTTCGCGCCAGTGCATACGTATTAGAATGTTTGTCATCATGGCACCTTCGAGCTTTTGTCTTCAACTGTTTGGTAATGTCAGAGAGGAAGCAAGGTCATCGTTCAACGAAATAGTCGCGAGTAATATCATCGATGTATTGTTCACTATGTGATATTCTGATCACAAAATAATATTACTGACGGCGACCTCTGGCCGAGCATTTTGTTCCTATTTGAGTTAGCATAGTAATTAGGTTCAACGTAAGAGAATATTAACAAGTTCGCCAAACATGACTCACACATAAACAAATGCTATAATGTCTGCCTCCGAAAAATGAAAGAAAATACTACGCCACTGCACTTTGTGAAAAGACTGCACGCACCCTCCACTCTAGTGTATTGCTAAAAACTACTACCGTGTGAATAAGTACAGTGTATTTATTTATAATTGTCTTTTTAACAAACTTGAAAAGTTAACGTTGGTGTTTACAGAATGTTTATTTAATGATTTAATGACTTACAATTTAAGAAATCTTAGAATATAATTCGTGCAATCTTAGGCACCGTTACTGCGCTCTGGCGGAATTATATTAGGAACGCAATCTTCTCTTGATGACATGCAAAAACTAATCGGTGTGCATTTTTTTAAATTTTATATATTTTTTATTTATCTGTTAATCTGAACCAAATAGGCAAGTCGTAGGCAAATAACACTGGCATTGTGAAGAATACTGAAGCATTCCAGCTACTTCATAGATATCATTTTTGTAGTAAACCTATTCAAATTATTATAACATTAATATAACATACAAGACAAATATAAAAATGTTTGGGTATGATCATATATCTTGCATTTAATGATCGAATATATTTAAGAGATCCAGAGGATGATATCTGCACAATCTCCTCAAGTCCTGGTTATTGTTTAATGCTAGATAATTTCAGTGATTTTGTAGGCGTTTGTAATAATTTGGCAACTGAATTGGACGTCTTAGTATATTGTTGGTAAAATGAAGTCAGTGTGCAATGTTCGATTTGAAACAAACCACGGAGCATTGACAAGCAAATTTAAAGTTTTTAATTGAAATCGCTGTAGTATTTCAAGGTTCGAATGAGCCGCAGTGCCTCAAAGTTGTATTCCCTAGGTCAAGACAGGTTTTAACATTGATTTATAAATCAATAGTTTGTTAGCCAATGAGGGAGACGACTTTTTGCCTATAGTATTGCTTAAATTTGATTTCAAGGTCTTTTCTTTTCTTTTTGACATGTCTTCCAGGTCATTATTTGATCAAGATGCAGATGATATTTTACACCATCTGTCTGTGGTATTTCCTTGTTATTGATTTTTAGTGGAGGATCTATTTGGTCTGGGTGTTAATATCACGTGGGCAGATTTGTTTTTTATACGCCACTCTTTGAACCATTCCTGCAACAGGGTGAGGTATCAAGTCATTTGTGACCTCGGAATACGCTCTGCGATTCTGTCACTAGGAAGATTGTTATTGTCAAAAATGTGTTGTTCCCTATTTCGATTTAGAACATTCGTTATTCGTTCCACTATTTTAACAAATCTCACATTATAGCAGTGAGTACTGCATAGTGGGCAATAGGCAACAACTGATGCCCCTGCAGCTACTGTGACCGGGAGGTTCTTCAATTCGAGTAACGACGGTTGCGGATTTTCGACGCTAGCTCATAGCTAGGTCGAATTCAACTGCTGTGTGGAGTAGCATTCCAGTGGCTAGATGTTCTGATTGGTAGTTTGGTGTGTTTTCTCAGGCCAATACCAGGCGAAAACGGGAGCAGTTCTAACAAACAGGCCACGGATCGTGCATGATCTATCCTTCATCCTTGTCTTCTCGTTTTTCCTTCCACACACATACCAGGTGCACAAGTCTTTTCTGGTTTCACTTAGAGATGGCTACAACGAACAGTACGCAGCATATAAAATTGACTCTTCGTCAGTTTGTAGTAGGATATTAACCTATTAAAACACACAGTTGAGACCGCCAAACACTAATGTCTGTGTTGTATCGTTCAGTGACCATGTTGACGTTTGTGTCTGAAAAATAATATTTGTATTCCATTGCCTTTCTTATTTTATCAAAAGAAAAACGCCGTAGAAAGTCGTTTGCTTGTAGAAACATATGGTACACACTCCAGCGATTAGAATGTGTGAGACACGGTTTCAACAATTTAAGCGTGATGATTTCAATGTGAAAGACAGTACGGTCTGAAAGACCAGAAATGTGCGAGTACGAGCATTTGCAGATGTTATTGGATGATCCAACCCAAACTGAACAGCAATTGGCAAAAGCATTAAATGTGTCACAAGAAACAATCTGCAGACGTTTACGAGCAATGGGAACGATCAATAAACTCGGTAAATAGATCCCACGCTATCTGAATGAACGGCAAATGTATGGCAATGCGCCGCCTCACACAGCAAAACCAGAAAAAGAATCGCTTGGGTGGGACGTACTTCACATCCGCCGTACTCCCTCGACCTGGCGCCATGTGACTACCACCTCTTCGATGGGGCACGCGCTCTTCAATGGGGCACGCGCTCGCAGAGCAGCACTTCAGCACTTTTAAGGAAAGTGGCTCGACGAATGGTTTGCCACAGAAGACAAGCATTTTTTCTGGTGCGGTATTCATAACTTACCTGAGAGATGAGCGAAATGTGTAGAATCCGATGGCCAATATTTTGGATGAAAAAAAATGAATTTGCCTTGAAAAACCGGCAAAAACGTATACCTTGATACATTTACACTACCCCACATGACAGACCTTCAAGCTCGTTCCAGCTTGGGCGGTTCCTCGCTAGAGAGAAAACCCCACAAGTCGACCTTCAGGACGACGCTGAATCTTAGGTTCCGGTTCCGCCCCCTCCCGCGATAAAACACTTATTACACTTACGGAAGTAATAACAGTAGCAGTTGATGCACCCGGAAACAAAAAATAATTATACAATTCATAGTTAGTCGTTCATAACCGAAAGAAGAAGAAATTTATTTCCGACGATTCCTAAGTTTGCCAATTGAAGTCATTGCCAGCATAAACTTCTGGACGTTTTGGATCAGAAACTCCCGTTCACAAACGCCTCCGCGTTAGCGAATTGTCCCAGAAAAAATAATAAGCCTTAGTTCAACATTTTGTGTTGAATACACTGATGTTATTTTACGCTCGAAACACTCTGCTGATTTTAATAGTGCCGGAACAATGCTGGATTACGCTTAGGGCACCCGACGGACAGGGACCCCGATGACATCAAACATGTTTCAAACTTTTTTTATAAAATAATATTTAAACAAGACAGACATTTTGACATTTTTTGTAACCACATATAAATTGTTTAAAGACATTTTGAACTCATAAATTCATCATCAAATTAAATGTAGGCATATAACGAAAGCTAAAGTGAGTACATTTTAATCGTAGGAAATATATTTTTTATTATTGAACACAGACACTTTTTTGTTTACACGTTTTACTGGACTTCATAAATAAGATGTATTAAAATAAAATCTTGCATAATTTTTGAAAACAAATATGTTCGTGAATAAATTCAAATTCTTACTTTAATAACAAATGATATCATAAGGGGGGCGATAAATTAAAATGGGGAGGGGAGGGGGCTCTCATTTGCAAGCGGCTACGGCCTCATTGAGTGTTTCTCGCCATTTTGCTATGTGAGTGTATTATCGCTTTACACTAATGTTTTGTTAAATATGCACAATGTCTATAGTTTTAGAAATAGGTTTGGAATTAATTGAGTAACACAACATAAGCATTTAGAATTTATACAGAGTGATTAAATTTGAGGCTTGAAAGTGTGAATGACATTCAGTGGGATGTTGCGCAAGCTTTTGTTTAATACGTAGGGCAATGAAGTGCTGTAAAATCGTCGTGCGGTGTAGTGATGTCTCTGAATAAATTAAGTTATACTCTTAATTCGTTTTGTAATTTCGTACACACTGACACGGAATTGTACCAATTACAGCTAAAATTTTAAACCAATTCAAGATAGGTTTGACATGATGAGATCATCGTCTGCATTAGCCTGTGAACCAACTGTCACGTAACTCCTGCAGAACTATTCGCTAGAACTGAATTGAATACTTTATGGATATTCTCAAGACACAGGCAACAAAAAAAGCAAACCAAACGTTTTAATTGTAAAAAGAAAACTTATAACTTAAGTAATATAACTTTACTTTCCGCATGAAATAATGACTGTGCAGTGGGTTTCCTTGTAAATAAAAAATACATTGTTATCAGTATTGAAATTCAAAATATTATTTTTTATCAATACATTATGTCAGTAACAAATATATATACAGCGAAAGGATGTAATACAATACAGTTTTAAGCAGTACACTGTACCCAGATTTCGTATGTTACATCGAAAAACAGAAATTGTAAAAATCCAAAAACATATTAAATTTATCCAATTATTCACCATATGAAGTTTTTTATCTGAAAATCTGAGAAACGTGATTATCGCGCAACTTTTCTTGAACGATGACCTTGCTTCCCCCTCTCTGGCACAATAAACAGATGAAGGCGAAAGCTCGCAGCGAGCACTGATGACAACATTCCAAACATATCTTCACTGGCGCGAAATAGAAACAATTTTCTTTTGAACACGTGAACTTCTATCGGTTATTTTCTCCAAAAATCTAAAGAAATGTCCCAAGCAGGTACGGATCTATCACAGGAGATATCTCGAACTCCTGATAAAGTTAGAACGCACGAAGGGGTGGCAGATTCTCCAGAGATTGGCATTACTTCATAAAATCTAGTGACCGATTTCGTAACTAATACCCCCACTCTACCCGCATTTATTCAATCCATCGTTCAAGAAAAGTTGCGCGAGTAATATCAGATTATCGACAATACTTCAGCGAGAATTTTCATAGATAACGATCTTTTGTTAGTGTATAATATTTTATTATTGCATTCAATTGCCTGAACAAGAAAATAAAAGGCGACGTTTGTTGTCATATGAAGTGTCCATTGTAAGTACATTCATAATTTATGAAGTAAAAAGTATTATTTAAATGGATAAATCACATTATCCGATATATTATTCTGAATCGAAAATACGCCGGACGTCAAAAGAAAGAGAAATAATAAAATTCCATTATTTATCACACTTGACCTCAACTTTCGGTAAAAGACATCAAATTGCCATTTATATTTGACGAAATATTTATTTTAGATAGCTCAATTTTATCCAATAGTATTTGGTAAATATTGTTCTTACGGAATTTTCGTTCATTTATTTACTCCCTCGTTAGTCTATTATTTTTAAGGTCGAGAGTGCCATACCAAATATACATTTTTTAAAGAGTTAGAAACTCCTGACATATGAACATTGTTGAAACAAAGAAGATTGATACAACGAATAGTTCGATAAAGTGAACATTATCTTTTCAACATACCCAAGCCCCAAAAAGTGTTTGCATCCCAGTCACAACCACTATTTTCTCCGCTGAGATTTAAGGACAAGCTGTTTCTGGGGTTACGTTCTGAAATTGCTTTTTCAAAGCGTGAAGAGCGGTTGTATGCGCGTTCGATTTTACCGCTAGATTGCGCAGGCGCATATTACTGTACCAGCTGCCACATTTACGGCTAAATCGAACTCTGGGTTGGTGCTTTCATCTGAATGAATTTACTTTTGCCAGTGAGGCGTATGTGCTGTTCCAGACATCATACTTTAAGGGTAAATAAATCTTCTTTTTAGGGCTGGGAATAACCTGCCGGTTATAACCGCAAAACACTTTTTTATTCATTGCTTTGTTCTTGTAATGTTTGCCCCGTTATTCAATTTGTTTTTAATAATTTCAAACCCGGATCAAACTGGGATGGGAAAAGACATAAATTATGTAAATTAATTTTCAACGATTAACTACAAATTAATTTCAAGTAGTTAAAACAGATCATTGCAGAAAGTAACGAAGCCCATGTTATCGAACCTTTTAGTATTATGTTTTCTTTATCTTGTTTAGACTTTGTACAACCATGTGATAATCGACATAGACTAATTTCTAAGTTACAATTATTTTAATCTAAAATAAATGTACAGAAAATCTAAAATTGTGACATGTTCCAGAAAGCCTCCAGAGAATGGGATCGAAGAGGATCACTTTTCCCAATGATCATGTGACGGGAAATTTTATAATTACGAGACATGTGTAACATTTGCCCCGGATTGTTGGACAACTCAACATGCATGAGTATCTTTGACTGTGTGAGAATCACGAATGCATAATGAGCTGTCTACGCATCAGAGGCAATTGCCATTTACGTAACCATGAAATTTCCATACCCCAAACATGCTCTAGACGTTTGTAACATGTTTTCTGAGACACGCGTATCGTTAGTGCAACACATATTTAAGAACAACCTAGAAAAACCATTTATTTCAATTACTGGTTGTTCTGAAAGATTATAACAGCGAGGTTAAACTGATGGAGAGGTGACACGAATAACCTAAAATCACTTATTTCAACATCCATTTATTTTGAGAGATTATAACCGCCACGTTAAACAGAAAATGAGACGATCAGAATACTATAAAATTAGATATTTCATTAACCGGTTATATTGGAAGATTACAACCGCCAGGTTAAACTGAAAGGGAGATGTCTGGATTAACCTATAACCAATTCTTTCAATGGCCGGTTATTTCAAGAGGTTCTAACCGCCAGGTCAAATTGAAAGGGAGATGTGTGGAATAACCTCAAAACCAATTATTTCAATGGCCGGTTATTTCAAGAGGTTATAACCGCCAGGTCAAATTGAAAGGGAGATGTCTGGAATAACCTATAACCAATAATGTTATTATTTCCAATTTCTCCCGTTATTTCAAGAGGTTATAACCGCCAGGTCATACTGAAACGGAGATGTCTGGAATGCCTAAAACCAGTTCTTTCAATGGCCGGTTATTTGAAGAGGTCCTAACCGCCCGCAGTGCCTCGAGCAAGCGGCGCACTAGTGCTCGTTGGAGCGGCGGTGCAGGGCGAGGTAGAAGTCGGTGGTGAAGGCGGCGGGGCAGCGCGGGCAGCGGAAGGGCCGGTCGCCCTTGTGGGAGCGCATGTGCGCCGCCAGGTAGTCCCTGCGGTTGAACGCCGCCCTGCACACGAGGCAGGCGAAGGGCGCGGGGCCCTTGTGCTGGCGCAGGTGGCGCAGCAGCGGGGCGTAGCCGCGGAAGCGCGCGCGCGGGCACTGCGAGCACAGGAAGGCGCGCCGCCCGCCGTCCCACATCCCTGCAAGCAGCAGCGGCTCGCGCCTCACTCGCTCACACGCGCATGCGCGCGCGCGGCGCTGGGCAGAGCACGCACCCGTGCCTCCGCGCCAGCGCCTGCCGGCAGGCCCTGCCATTCCATTTTGGGGATTCATGACTGATTCCGGGCACGTCAACTGCTAACGCCATTAGCCCCGTTAGTGTAGTCCATGTTTTTTTCGCTCAGGAGGTGGTGGTGATGGTCTTCCCCCACTGGATGCTGAGATCCGGCGCCGATCTACCGTCTACTAGCGAAGTTTCCCACAACCAAGTATCTCCCACTAGAGGCGCACCCAGACAAGCTCTAAGCTCCTGACTCATGTATGTGTGAAAGTGTAATGCATGTAAGTGTGTGTTCAAGTGTGGGCTGATGTTGGACAAGGAACGGGGAAGGAAGATCGCGGGTCCGTGGTCGGTTTGTTAGGGTACTGCTCTTGCATTCGTCTAGTATCGATAGGAGAAACCATAAAAACTACCGATCAGAGCAGCCGGCCACTAGTCCTAGAATTCACAAAAGAGACCAGTTAGTGGCAGAGTTTCGATACTTCTACACAGGTAGAATTCAACTTCTGACTGGAAGAGAATTCTAGCGTCTCGCTGCTCCGATCGGTAATTTTCTGTGCTGTCTCCAATCAACGCCAGGCAGAGGTCGAAGCAGTGCACAGACGGACCAAGGAGAGCGTAGGATCTTTCCCTCCTCATTCTTGACTCCTCTCTCTTCACACACACACAGACACATGTACATACAATACTCTACCATACATGTCCGGAGACCAGAAGGAAGCTTAGAGATTGTCTTGTCAGGTGCGGTGTCCCGATCAAGGAGATACCTTGAGGAGAACACTTCAAGCTGACGTGTGGGTCGCCACCAAAAAAATTATTTTGGAAGATGGTGGGTCGCCGCCAAAAAAAATATTCCAAAGGGGAAAACACTGCCCCCTCCTGGGATTTTACAAGCACTTCACATACTGGCCAAATTGGTTCTGGTTGACGCGCCTAGAATCAATAAATATTGCCTCACTCGCTCTCTACAATCGTGAGGATTGGAACATTGCTGTTTCAACCCTCGCGAAATCTAACTCCTTTGAATCGAAACACGCAGACTCAGACCTCGCTGATTCGAAAGTCGGGTACTCGCACCTGAATAGCCTGAATCTCGGAGGCTTGAACCACGCGGGTTTAAGCCTCGCTGACCCAAGCCCCAGTGAATCGAAATTTGCAGATTCGAACCGAGGTTGACTCGAGCGATTCGGGAACCGAACTCGGTGATCAAAGCCTCGGAGAATCGAACCTTAGTAACCTAAGTCCCAGTGAATAGAATTGCCTTGTCATTGTTGAAAAAAAATATGTATGCTCGTTTTCGAAATTATATTTTAATTTCGAGTGCATTTTATATTTGGAAGACAAATTGTCTGGTGACATTTTTATTTAATGTGTTATAAAATCCTCCGCCACATGCAGGAGCATACTACAGTGCTGTTTTCTTTCTATTTTAGTCATTTTTATATTAGTTACATTTACAACAAACGCTAGAATTATTTTAGAGAAGATTCATTGTCTCTTTTTTACATTTATCACATTCCTACATTCCGCAAAATTGAATTAAGTAAAGAAGTATTTTTAGAAAAGGCTAGGTTTAAAAATTGCATTAAAATAGTTCACAACAGAGCCGTGTTTTATATAATTAATTAGCAATTTACGCATAATTGAAAGAAAACTGAGCAGCTACGGGAAATGTGAGAAGTGTTAATGGGTTCGTTAGATATCCAGGGGCTCAGGAAAAATCTAAAAACAATGGATCAGTTTAGTTTTTGACTGAAAAATTGCCATATTTGATTGTGTTATTTCCCCCATTCTCGTACTACGTGTACCACCGACTGAACTCTCATAAATAGTGCGCCACTGACTACGTCTCTCCTGACGTCATGCGGCAGTCACGGTCTCTAAAGAAGAAGCCGCCCGCCATTAAATATTGTTATTTACTGTAGTAGCGGTGTAGTGAGCGTTTGAAGTGCGAGTACCAAGTGTCTACGTGATCGGCCTGAGATACGGACTTATTCTCCTGGATTTTGGTTATAGTGACTATTGCTTCGTTAATTGGACATATCATTGGTTTATGGTTATTTTGGCAAGCACTGGTAAATCTCGCGGATAATTGGTGACAACATTTTGTGAACGATTGCTCTGTACTATTGGAAAGTGTAAATAAAACTATTTTACAAAAAGAACTTGTTGTGGACATAACATTTACAACTTCTGTTATGGAACAGCAACTTTTTTATATTTTTAGTATGTAAAGAATTTCTTATTCGTATATACAATGCCATTCCAGTATTTGTATAAACTATTTCTGTTAAAATATTGCATGTTACTGCAATTTGACAAGAGAGAATTTGTGGTTCTTATTAATGTTTGAGGTGTCTCACTTTCCTTATGAAGTGCCGATATTGTTCGTAGACCGAGCGGCTTGAGTCTTCTGTATTCCACATGGTGCCTCTTATCACTTTCTGCGTTCACGTACCGAGATATGTGTCAAAGTTTGAAGTCTTTATTATAATGGGGTTCATTAATTATTTAGTGACTTTGAGCAGGTAAATTACTATTATAATTAGTCCCGTAAGCGTAGTGCATATTTCACGGGAGGTAGCTCTGTTCCTCCCTAGCTGAACGTTAAGATCCGGTGCTCACCTACATGTCGACTTGCGGATTTCCCCTTCCAGGAATCTCTACACAGCAGGGCATCGCCCCAGCCGGGACAAGCTCTAAGCTCCCGACTGGTAGAGAAGTGTATTTGTGTTATAGGGACGATTGGAACAAGGATGAGGAGGGAAATATCGTGGGCTATAATATTATAGACTTTAACATTTGAAGGTTTGTAATTACAAAGAAACTCTATAACTTTGTGAAATTACTGTGCAGTTCTTTATTATTTTTATCTATTGCCCGTTAATTTTTTTTACATGTTATGTTGATAATACACCTTGCAGGTGCAATATATTACAGTCGTGCGGTAAATATGTAATCGGCACATTGCCGTCAACTACTCTGTTCGTTTTAAAAGGTCACTGAAATGAATGACAACACGAATACAATTAGTATTCTTAGGGTATTAGTATTCGGTCTGTAGATCACGAGGCTAACCCACATTTTTTTATGAAATTCAGTTATTAGCCTTAAATGTAACTTCACAAACTATTCTTTTAGTGTAATACGTTGTTTTTTTAAAATTCTAGTATGGACTTTCATGCAAGTGTACTGTGTTTAAAAGAACTCTGTATGACAAGTTCGCAGAAACATCACTCGAACAGGGGGCTATCACACACAGGTTATATCTGTTTTTTATGTTAAATAAGTAAATAAATAAATCCCCAAAGTGAATTCAAGCTACGGTCTCATCGGTTAGTAGCTCTGTGAACTAGCGAACAGAAATTTCAAAAGTTTTCCTACAATCATGGTAAATCAATGTGTGACCGGCTCTAGTTGTTAGAGAGGCTACGGCGGTTACGGAAGATGTGAATAATCATCCTGTGCATAAAAATCAAATATAAGGGAAATATATCCTGAAAAACTAGAAAGAAAATGTTAGAAAGAAGGCGAGGTATAGGAGAGACTAATATATTTCTAAAAGACGAATGTTTGTGCCGGCCAAAGTGCGCGTTGAACTTACCAGTTGCAAAAGAGAATGGTGTACAATCAAATCATTGTCCAATAATGAAAAAGATGCCATGTTTTGTTATTTCTGTAAATTGAATAATTATAATACTCAAATTGCATATTTATTTGACTAATTAAATATTTTTCTTGCAATAGAGAGTATTTAAAGAATAAAACTAATGTTGGTAAAAAAACAATTGTTGTAAACCCACAAAATATATTAAGACATTAATGATATTTTCTCATTATTTGTGGAAAGTTGCATTGATATGTATATAGTATTCCAAAAAGATTTTGCTGATAAACTATTTCAGACTTATTTAATGCGTTTTAGTAAAACCCTCTATCTTAGAACTGGGTTAATTACCCCTTGTTTTACTGTAACTTTCAATTAAATGAAGAGTCGTTTACGATTTTCAAACCTATTTTATAAATACCTGTAGAAAACAAAATGTATGTAAAAGAGTTATTTTTCAAATGTGACAATTCATTGGAAGTATTGGCAGATACATAAAACTGCACATAAAACATAGCTTCAATAAAGTTTGTTATAGATCCTTTAAGTTTTATACCTAAATTCGTAAAAGATTAGTTAAGATTACTTTTTACGTTCTTTTCATCGCAAATCCCTAGCAATGCCATGCAATCAGCTACGAGACGAGTATCAATTACAACAAAAGGTTCGTAATAAATACTAAATAACTGGTGATTTTGACTCAATTTCTCTTGGTGACATTCAAAAAGGAACTTATGGTTATAAGACACTATTTGAATATCCACGTTACAAAGAAAATGTAATATTTGGTGAAAAATGTTACCAATCTACTCCTCACGAAACTGCTTGCTTACAGTAAATTTGCAACACATATTGCAGACATAAAATTATAGGCGCCCAGAAGGGGGGGGGACTTGGGATAACTTCCTGGTGGCCCTGTCTTGTGACTTGGAATTTTTTCATACATATTCAAAACAAATACAAAAATATTAATTGCCCCAATTTATTTCTATTTTTTGCAGAAATGGATTCTGTGAATGTATTGGAGTGGAACTTATGTTTCCAAAAAAGGGGCCCCCGTGAAGCTACTGCCCCAAGTCTCTTGTTTCTCTGGGCGCCCCTGCATAAAATGGAAACATCATAAAATTAAAGAATACATTCTGAATAAATGAATATATTTATTTATATTTTTAATGCCACATACAAGTTTATCGAACAAGTAGTATTTTGTAGGAAGTATAATTTGTTCATGGAGGGAACAGCACGCTACTCGTGCTGTCTCCCTCAGGATCCACACGCAATAAACGAACTGCCGAAATAAAATGCCGCATC